CCTATCCCACACCCAATTCACCAACCTTGCCAAGTTGTACTCTCTTTAACTGTTCTTAACATGTGGGAGTGTTACGATTTTCCTGGGGCCTTTAAAGCTAGTTACTTCTTGCTCTTTTTCCTAGCCTGGGTTCCCAAAATTAAGATATTTCTCCTGTCAGTCTACCAGTTACCATCTACTGAAAATTCTGCAGCAGTCAACCACTGAAATCCCTTTCCATATTCTCGTTTCTATTCAGCTGCATTTGAGCAGCTAAGACTATGAAAGATATACAGAATAAGATGCAGTTTCTCTATCCTAGCTGAGACAGTGATTCAGAAGGAAAAGTTGTGCAGCATTTTCTAGGTGGTAGCCAAGAAAATGACAAGCCATAGGGTACATCCAACCTCCATCCAAGCCTAACATGATGTAAGAGCAGTAGAGTTGCAATGACTGTGTGAGCTTTCTAAATGGACAGAACTAAGACAATTTTATAGTTCTTTTATCACCTGATCACTTAATTTATCTCCAGTTTAGATACCTACAGACACAACACACTTCGGATTTTGTTGTCACTAGAAACAATTCCTTCTCCATTATATTGAAGTCTAAAGTTTTACCCTCAGACCAAAACCTCCTATTCTTTCTACTCTTCTATTCCTTCTCTCCTACCTAGCTGCTGTTGAAACTATTTTCACCTCTTAATTCTCAACCCCCCCATTATTACAGTCCATCAAGTCCCTTCTGTTTTTCCCATCCCCTTGCCTACACACACACACACAAAGTTACCAAGTCTAGTCAGCTCTACCTCTGTTTCCTCCCGCATGAGTCTCCCTCTATCTGACACCACTTCTAATATAGTTCATTATTTCTCACCTAAACTACTCTAGGAGCATAGCCAGCCTCTCTTTTCTCCAATACATCTTATTAGTGCTTGATTAATCTTCTGGAAACATAGCTCAAATACCTTCTGATCAAATTCATTTAATGACCCTTTGTTGCCTATAAGCTCAAAACAGTACTTCTTTACATGGTGCTATGGGTTGTTTTGTGTCCCGCAAAAAGATATGGTGATGTCCTTATCCCTGGTACCTGTGAATGCGATTTTATTTGGAAATAGTGTTTGCAGATGTAGTTAGTTAACATGAGTTCCTACTAGTATGGCTAGTGTCCTTACAAGAAGAGGAGAAGAGACACAGAAACAGAGTAGAGACAAAGGCGGAGATTGGAGTTATGCTGCCACAAGCCAAGGAATACCTGGGCTACCAGAAGCTGAAAGATACAAGGAAGGATCTTCTCCTAGAGCCTTCAGAGAGAGAGAGTATGGCCCTGCTGACACCCTGAATTTAGACTTCTAGTCTCCATAACTGTGAGGGAATAAATTTCTATTATTTTAAGCTATCTAATTTGTGGTACTTTAATATGGCAGCTCTAGGAAACCAATACACCTGGCATTTGGGGTCCTCCAAAATATGTACCCACACTATTTTTCAGGCTTAGATTACCCTTACATGTAACCTATAGCCTATGTCCCATGAATAAGTCCCTGAGTTCCCAGTTCTAAAATTCATGTACTGCTGTAGCTGTTGCTCACCATGTTATTACCCTAGAAGAGAATTTACCTCAGGAATTCTGCTTGAATTTGCTAAGGAACTTATAAATAGAAAGAAAGGAACGATGCAGTGTTTTAACACAAAAACCACTCAGTTTTTAAATAGCAGTATCTAATTTTGGTGTTGTAACTTTAATGGCCACCCTCACAAAAAGGTTTCCCTTCTTTTTTTCAATGATATAATTTACACTAAAAAAAAAAAAAAAAGTGGCAATTTAAAAAGTGAATGTAGTATGGATAATGTTCATAAAAGTGTGTCAGCATTTATAGTTTTCAATGTAACAAAATAATAGAAAATTTAATGATTCCCTATGTCATAATAATCTACCATTTAGCATTATGTAAGCAGAGAAATTTAGAGTTTAGGGAGTGAAAAATAGTCCATTTTACCTCATTACCTCAAAATTTAAATTAAATATTTCTACATTTTATAAACAAATATTTGCTGACAAAATAAAGCATTGGGAAATGCCATATATAATAAAGTTCATATATTTCAATTAGCTCATTCAATTTAATTCTTTATTCCTTTAATTATTTATAAAAAAGTTATTCCTTTGCTTTTATTTGTCTAGTTCCATAATACCCTAATGGAGAAAGTTGTATGTACAAATCTTCATTTTGTATATTTATTAGTTTCATAATACACTAAATATGCAAAAAATACCAATATTTTCACATTGTCTGCTCTAACTGTACATGCTATTTCATACCAAGATTCTTATTTTATCAGATTTATTTTCACAGAGGTGATGTTTGATAGAAAAAGAGGCACATCACATATTGTTACAACAGGTGAACAAATCCCTGGGTAAACTCACAAATATAAAAGAATAAAAAAAGCATTAAAAGCATATACATAATCAGAGGTAAATTACCCTTAAATATGGTTTCAAATTTAAAGTGTGTATTAGATCTCATTAGAAAAGACCACACCAAGAAACAATCAAATCTTCAGCTCTTTAGACTATTCACGTCTTTTCCCTGCCCACTCCCCCCAAACACCAAGATTTTTAGTTTTATAATTCAGTTATCTTTTAGAGTTTTTCCATGTATAGCAAATAACAATGATGTACAACAGTATAATAAATCTGAGACAATATTTTAGTGTACAACTTACAATAATTTTAAATGGAAGAGCATTTAAGAGAAAAGCAAAATGGTAGTGGTAAAGGTATCTGAAATTGAGAGAGAACTATCAGATTCAGAAATTATTTTCCTGAAAGTGACCTAAAAGTTAAGAGGTCAACATATTAATAATATCTTTGTACAAATAGAGAAAATAATATTTTACATTTAAAAGCCTTATACATATAAAAATATAAAATGATGTTGGTGTTTCAAAAAAACAGGAAATAGTTACTTCATGCATTTATTAAATAAATACTAACTGAGCCCTTATCATGTTTTAGGGACTGTGTTAAACACTAAAGATACAATGGTAAACAATACATAGTCCTCATTTTCAGGAAACATGCAATCAAGTGAAAATTTTATAGTCAATAAGAAAAGGATAAGAAAAGAAAAACACACTGAGGCTAATATTTAAATAAATGAAATTTATTTCATTGTTATTCATTATAATTCCTCTTTATGTTGATATATTAAGCCATCTCACAATTTAAAATAATAATAATCTCAGACGATAGTAATCTCAACAGCAAGGTTAAAAGTGCAATAATACAGACATCATAATATTACTTTCAAAGTCATCTAATATAAACTTCCCCTCTTCAAACAATGTAGGATATCAGTATGAAAGTTTTTAAAATTACTTACTAGTTAGATTTCTGTATCTCTAAGAAGAGTGTTTTCTATAAAAAATCAACAAATGAAAACAATTTTCTTGCTTTAATTTTTGCATATTTCTACTGACATTCAACAAGAAATTATATAGTATAACCTATAAAATAAATTCTATTGATTAACAAATAAAACCTACGTGAGAAACCAAAGGTTTTTCTCACCTTTACTTCAGTATACATTGAAATAACTGTATCCATTAAATTCTACTGATTCTTAAATTAATACTTTATCTACTTTGAGGTTTATAATAGCTACTCTATGAAAACAATTGTACTATTTATTCTGTTACTATGTTTTTTCTAATATTTCTATGAACAATATTTTTCGTTGCTAATTAATATTCAGGAGCCCTGGTGGTGCAACAGTTAAGCACTCACCTGCTAACCAAAAAGTTAGTGGATCAAACTTACCCAGCAGCTTCTCTGGAGAAAGCCTGGCGATCTGCTTCTGTAAAGATTACTAGCAAGAAAACCCTACAGGGCAGTTCTACTCTATCACAAGCGGTCACACTGGGTCACACTTCGAGTCTGAATCAACTCAACAGCACCCAACAACAACAATTAATATTCAGCAGAAGATAAAAGAAATCAAATGCAAGTGAAAATTCTCATTGAAATAGTTATTGATTTTTCAACCAGGAATCATTCACCCTTACCATAATGGATTTATTTTTAGAAAATCATTCTATAATCTCCAAACTTTTAAGTTTAATAATATACTGAAAGAAAAATCCAGGGATTTATTTGCCTACAAGTTCCAAATGAGTAAACTGAGATATAGATACAAAAGAAAAATATTAGTAGTATTTTGGGTTTTATATTAATTAAAAAAAACAAACTCATTGCTGCCAAGTCGACTCTGACTCATGGCAACTCCAGGTGTTACAGAGTAGAACTGCTCCACAGGGTTCTCTTGGTTATAATCTTTACATAAGCAGATTCCCAGGCCTTTCTTCCACAGTGATGCTGGGTGGGTTCAAACCATCAACCATAAGGTTAATAGTCGAGTGCAAACTGTTTGCACCACCCAGGCACCGTCTTTATATTATAAACATACACTATCCAGAAGAAGGAAGATGAAAATCTTAAAATGTACTGATCAGACTACTCTCAAAATATTATGCTTAGTTCTAGACATTGTGCAAAAAATGGGGGGGTATTCACAAGTTGATGAAGGTACCTAGATGACTTCAAAGGAAAACAGGTTACCTTGAAATTAAATAATGAGAACAACCAAAGATACTTAGAACATTTACCCTAACTAGAAAAGATTTAAAGAGAGATTGAAAAGAAGTCATAGGAAAATAATAAGTAGGCAGGAAGCAGGTAAATTTAGGTTAGTTTAAGAAGGACACTTTAAGAAATAGAGTTGTCCACTACTAAAACAAGAAACCTTAGGAGTAGTGAGTTCTTCATCACAAGAAGTTTTCAAGCAGAGATAGTGACCACTTGACAGATATATTTACTATGGTTCCTTCCACAAATACTCATTCAGTGATGAGGTACCAGGCACAGTAGATCCAAGAGAACTTTAACCTTGAGATAACAGGGTTCAGTGATCTTAAAAACTACAAAATAGATGAAATAGCTACTTTTCAGCTTACCTTTTTTTCTTCTTGCAATATTATTACATCAAAAAATCGTGGGAGAAATGAGCAATAATTTTGCTGTTGCTCTTTCTTGATGTTAATGTTTTCATACTGTGGTGACTTTCCCCTTTAGAAAATTCAGAGAGAAATTGAGAAGTACTCAATTTCAAGTATTAAAAAAAAATGTTTATATAAGCAAAGAGAGTATTTTACAGCAACATTTCCTGATTTTTAAAAAAAGTATGTAATAACATCACCTAGGTGTGTTAGACCAATATATTCTGGTTTTTTTTAAATATACTCATTTATGTTGGTTAGCTCTGCTTTTTCCAATTCATAAAATTATTATAAATCTATTGTAATAAGGATTCCAAAAAGAAAATAGAATATGGGATTTACATTATGAATTGGCGGGGGCGGGGGAAGCTACCAAAAAAGTTCCCTGTGTATTCCATGTACGACAAAAAAGTCTTTAAAATTTCAGAATCCCTTGTTATTTCAACTATTGCAAAAATAAGGGAAAAACAGCCATATGCTATTTATATCATAAAACAATTAGGAAAATGGCATAAAGATTCTTTGAAAATTAAAGTGAAGCTTACCTTCACTGAAGTTTAGACGACCCCAAGAAAGAATTAGAAACTGAATAAGCAGTGATTAAGAGGCCAAGCTTTGGAGGCAGATAGCCTGATGGGAATCCCAACATTAACTACTGGCTGTGTGACCTTAGGCAAATTACTTAACTTCTCTAGCTTCAATTTCTTCATCTGTAACTGGAATTAGTAATAACCAATTCTAAGGCTGCAGTGATTAAAGTAGATAACCTATATGTGAATTGCTTAGTGCCATGTTGTTAGTTGTTAGGTGCAGTCAAGTTGGTTCTGACTCATAGCACGGTAATTCAAAGGCATCAGTTCTTAGGTCCTCCTTACTCAATGTCCACCTTTCGTATGCATATGAGGTAATTGAAAATATCTTGGCTTGAGTCAGGCACGCCTTAGTCCTCAAGGTAACATCTTTGCTTTTAAATACTTTAAAGTGTTTTAAAGTGTTAATAAAGTGTCAGTGCCATACATGGCCCATAATAAGCACACAATGACTGTTAGCTATTATTATTATAAGAATCACATTTAAATATGCTATACTGACTACACTATTTTTTTTTTTCTATTTCTTCAGCAGAACTGGAAAAAAATCTCATATTCAACATTCCCAACAAACTATACTGAACAAAAACAGATAAAAAACATAAAAACAAAAGTTTAATTAAAGTTACATAATGGCCATTATTTTCTTTGTTCTGCATTGCTACAATTTAAATAGACATTTAGCATCCCAGCTCACTGATAAATGCTGACTTCTTCACTGATTTTTATTCTCACAAAATTGAACAAATGAATTTGTTTTCAAAACCTCAAATGGGCATAAGGATAACAAATTTGTATCTAGGCTATCAGAAGTGTAATATATCATTTAGATGTGTGCCTTCACCAAAAAGAGACCTGTAAATTCATCTTTCCACTTAGGGTGGCCAAGAATCTCCACATTTATACTATATTGAGTCTTGCCAGGATAATTCTGAATCAATCACTAAAACCAGAAGTCCAAAAGAGAAAAAACAGTAGAAAATGTCAGTTGCCACAAGTAAATAAGACAAGTCCAAATAAAGCTACAGTGAAGTTAGTCAAATCAAAGAAAACAAACAAACTATGGAAACGGTGAAATAACTGAAGCAGAACAAAATGCAATGTGTATGAATACATACCTGGAAGCAAAAAAGAAAGGACGAATAGAAGAAATGGGAAATGACAAAGACCAGAAAGAAAGCAAGAACAGGAAAAAAAAAAAAAATTGGGTGAGAATGGAAGGGGACAGGGTTGGAGAAATAAAAAGGACTGGCAGGAAAAAACTACCAAGGAAATTCAGAGCAACACTGATTAGATAGAGTCTCGGTTATGCCTGGGATCCTTAGAAGTATAGTAGATTGGGTAGAAAATAATCATCACAGAACTATACGCCTTAAAAAGGGTTAATTTTACATTATGTTAATTACATCTCAGTAAAACTGACATGAATAAGTAGGTAGGTAGGCAGAATGATAATAGATGGATATAGACAGATAGACAGACAGACAGGCAAACAAGCAAACTAGTCAATCTGGGGGAAAAAAGAATAGGACAAAAACAATAAACAATGAAAGCTTATGTCAGGAGGGGAATGATCAGAGTTAGAGCATTCTATAGACCTTGTTTTGTTTGGAAAAATGGTAAAGACACTAAATTTAAACTTCGTTAAGTTAAATATACATGTTTAAGTTCTGGTGTAACTACCAAAAGAATAAAACTACAAGGTGTATCTTCTACATTAGAATTTAAAGATAGGAAAGGACAATGGATCAGATTATAAATTCCCAAAAGCAGAGACATGTTTTATTCTTTTTATCCTCAGTTACTACACTGCGTATTCCTGGCACACAGCAGAAATTCAAACAATGCTTGCTCAGTGAATGAACTGTAGCAGGGGAGTCCAAGTAAGAGCCTAAACTATGTCCATTGCTGATATATAGATATGTCTGAATCTGTCTGGTGAACGAATTGTGTATGTAATCACTACGGAAATCTTGGGGGAAAACTCATCCTATGAGAGGGAAAGAATCAGGCAGACAAGCTGGATCCTTTAAAAAACATTTTAATCATCAGAAGGGGTGGTTTATTCTGAGGATAATAGAATATTTTATTCAATTTTGCATTCCATGAACTCATGTGTAAGGCCTTACTGTAGGAGTAGCAGAAAGTAAAGACAAAAAAGAGTTATTTTACCAGAAACAGATTTACTAGCTAAAACTTCATAAATATTGCCTCCAACCGAATGTTATTGTTCTGATCATGCTAACTGAGAATTTCTTCTAAATCCATCATGCAGTGAGAAGAATGAAGACAAGAGCCAGGGATAAGATAGAGAATACTGGGTCACATTCTTTTATTTTTTTATCTGATTATTTGCCTATTTTATAATTGTAAATTTTAGTACTTAGATACATGGCCTTTGTATTCAAGCATATCTCAGTCTAACTGTGCCACTTAATAGCTGCATGATCTTGAATATGTTATTTATCCCCTCTGATCCTTGGATTTTTCACAAATAAAATAGGTATCACAATAGTTACTAAACATGGTGTTGCTGTGAAAATTAAATGAGATAATACACGTAAAGCAGGTAGTACAGGATCTGGCTCATAGAAAAGCAATAGCTTTCAGATAGGTTATTCCAAAATGTACTTGCTGGATTTTTTCATACTGATTTTCCCTTTCATAACAGCATAGCCTAGTCTAAATTATTAGAATACTTTATAAGCAAGAACTATATTAAAGGTATTACTACTTTTTTACTTACTGGACTATATGATACTGTCCAGGACCAGGTCCTGACTTTTGAGGTAAGTCTTGTCTTCCCAAAGAGTTGCCAAAGTGTATCCCTTTGTATTTCAAAGTTGTACTGAAAACATTCTAAAAAAAAGTGAGGATAAGATAGTTTAAATAAGTTGTAAAACAATGTTTAACTTTTCTTAAGTCTAAATCTAAAGCAAAAAGAGTCTCAGTCAAGGGGGTTCTACTTTGATAGATCCCAAGCTAGTTATCACTGCTGTGTCCCATCCCACTCCGAGTCAGCCAGAATTCCCGAAGAAGTGTCTAGAACTTTTGTGTTTCCTCACCAACATGAATATATTTGCCCTTGGCAGTACATTCAGTAATCTAAAACTATGATAAAAAATAACTTTGTCTAAAAAAAAAGACACAGGAAACTTATGATTTAGGGAATGCCTATTAAAATGACCTTAATTAAATTAGATGAGAAAGTACAAACATCATCAACAGACATCAGATAACATCTAATTACCTGGTATATAATATTTGTGAATATTATATATGAACGTAATATATTCACATAAATTTTTCAAATAGTTACAAATAGTCAACAATAAATTAAACATTTTATTGTTAATGCTATCAAAGCTTGGGGTCAGGATCAGTTCATTAATGCCAAAGGCATTATTTGTGACATGTAGATTTCAACAATCATTTTCCTTTATATCCACCATCGTAAATGTCAAAATTAGGCATTAACCATTAAAAACTTCACTTTAGTGAAGTTAAACTACTTTATTTCATCAGAAACTAATAAAATAAGTGTATAACAAGAATAGTAGCTTCTCTTAAAAGAATTCTCTATTAACCTAAAACATTCTAAATTGAGCAATCATTTAAGAATTTTTTAGAAAACTCATTTTTTTAACTGATAGTAAAGGTAAACTCTAGTATATTTAACTTATTTTTAATTAACATTTGTAAAAATATAATTTTAAAACAAACTTTTATTATTAAAATTACATATACATATCTATAATACTAAATGAAATCCCTAAAACATAAACTTACAGTTTAACTACATAAAACAGTGTATCAGTTGTTCTAGGTGACTATTACTATTCAAAAACAGTAGAACATCTCAATTGCCATTATAAACAATATTAGCACCACTAATAGCAATAACATATGATAAAATGCATAACTCCAGTTCAAAATGGTAAATTAAACCCACGCCCACCCAATCTCACCAAATTTTTAAGAGTGCATAAAACAGACACAAGTTATCAGTTCTAGAAACTAGGAGGTTATCATTCACATGCTAGAAACATCAAGGAACTTCTGTAGGATATAGTGCAGCAGACACTAGACCCAGAAGACCTCACTGCTTGTGAAAAGAGCCTCAGCAGAACTCTGTAACATCTCCAGAAAGGCAGGAGCTAGAGGTAAGGATGGACTCTTGGTAGTGCGTAGGGAGCAATTCTCAAACCTACTAGCCCCTTTGGAGATTGGCACCAGTGCCATTACATGAAGTAATGACAGTGAATGCTAAATGCTATGACCACTTTATTTTTAGCATAGATGGTTGGAAATAAATTGAAATCACTGTCACTGGCCCCTAATGAATACAGACTTTCCAGATAGAGAGTCATCAGTCCAGAAAGCTTTGGGCAGCCACACCAAAATCCATAAAGAAAGTGGCACAGCACAGAAATAACCTACTGTGTGAAAACTTCTTTTATTTCTCAGAAATTACCACAAACAACTAGCCCTCAGATATTACAAAATAAAAACTCAATAAAGTTAAATTTTCTCTTCAACCACTTGATCTGAAGTCAGAACCTTGATGTTTGTGTGAGGTAAAATGGGATCTTTGTTGATTTTTTTTTCATAGATACAATCTCATACAGAAATTGAATAAGAGTTTTTCTGAAGTTTCCTATGCTTTTATTTTAGCAAATATCCTTGTTTCTTCCTTGATTGGGGTATTGAAGGGTAAAAACCTGGAGATAGGGAAACAAGGACTTACCAGCTTGCTCCCAAGTAGGACTCAGGCATGTGCTGGAATGTCTGGTGAACGAATAGAACTAACCAATCAAAAGGCAAATGTTAAAACTAATCCTGTGGGAAGTCCCTAATCATGATAACTTTTACCCAGTAAAAAAATCTTAGTGTCCAAAGAGTAGCAATGCTGAGTGTTTTCTGTTGACTGAATTTGCCTCCTAACAGAGGCAATTCCCACTGGATTTATGCCTGTGTCCTGTGGAGTGCAAAGAGGCTTTGAATAAATTCTAAAAGAGCTGTTTCATTAAAATACTGATAGAAATCAGCGCTACCTTTGGACTGCTCTAATAGAATATAACACAAATAGAGACGGGCATCATCCCCTCCACTTCACTCCAGCTCCTCATGCAGCTTTTTCTGTGACAGAGTACTTTGGCGGAAATGCCCAGCAGAGAGCACCATCTGGCAAGAGACTGAAGTGCCTGGTGGAGCAGCAGCTGTATTCAGAGGAAACAGACATGTTTGGGAGCATAGTTAAGACAGCTCCTGAGGTCTTCCAGAAATACCAGGGAAGGGGAACTTTTTAGAAGGCTAGAGGTTCTCTACATCAATAGGTTTAGGCAAGAACCATTGCTATTTGAGTTATTAACATTATTATGATTCTCTTTAGTATCCACAGTCCAATGAAGTCTGGAAAACTTGTGTTACATAATAAAAAGGATTAATCCTTATTTCATATAGGAATATTTTCTGGCATTGTAAATGGTCTCAAAGTGCTTGGATTACTAACATGCAGATTCCTTCTAATGAATTATAATACAAAAAATCTTCCCCCTTCACTCTGGACATTCAGTTTTAACACTATGAGCAATATAGTCCTATAAAGCACTATATCAAAGTAAGATATTATTATCATCATCATCATCATTAAGACAAGTAGTAAACTAGTTGATAGATATATCCCAAGCCCACCCCATTTGGTCTAAAAGGAACAGGGCCATGAATAAGAATTGAAAGAGCTATCTGTGATGTTTAATTTTATGTGTCAAGTTGGCTAGACTATGGCTCCCAGTGGTTTGTCCAAACACACTAGTCTAGCTGCTGTTTCATAAGGTAGTCTAATATGTAATATAATCACCTTTCATAATGTAATCTAAGCCAATGTTATCAATTGATCATTTGAAAAGGGCGTTTCCTTAGGTGTGTTCTGCTTCCAGACTATAAATAGGTATTTTGGCAGATCTCTCTCTCTCTCTCCCCCCCTCTCTCTCTCTGTCTCTCTCCTTTGCACTCGTTCCATGGCCTGACCTACAGATCGTGGGATGCAAACCTGCAGGAGTTCTCCAGCCTGCATCTGACTATGGATTTTGGACTTGACAAACCCCACAATCACATGAACCAACTCCTTAAAGTAAATCTCTCTCACTGATATTTATATATCAGTGTGTCTGTGTGTATATATACATATAAATATATCCCTGATTGTTTCTGTAAAGAACCCTGACTAAGATACTATCCTATCAATCTCTATAACACATAGGGGTATAAGCAACACTGCTTTGGGACTCCTAACTGTAATACAGAAGAAAATAAGGCAGTTAGACTACCCAAAGGGTTTAGGCCTGAGGGAGCAGAGACAAATGCTATATCACCTAGCAGAAGAGTATAAAAAGCCACACAGCCTGTAACGTCTGTCAGAGCAGCAGGTGTACTAGAAGAGTACCAGGAGAAACTCTAGCATCCACTTAGAGTAGCCAAAAAGCAGCCTGTTCCTATAGGATCAGTGGCAACTCCAGAGACTGCTGCAACCAACAGAGCTTTAGAAGAAGAGAGAGTGCCTAGCAAAGTAACACATTCTCTTGCTAAAGTAATTGTTTTAGACCATCTTTCAAAAGAGATTATCTCACAGAGCCATGTATTTTAAAGTACATATGCAGTTCTGATGGAAGAAATAGCAAAAATATCCCATTTCCCATATATTATACTTTATTTTTACTTAGAAATAAAGCAGTAATTTCACAACTGTGCAGATTTGTTCTATTATCATAATTAGCAGTTAAGTACCCAAATGCAGAACTCTGTTTTAATACAACATAGCCATGGTGGACACATTAAATATTTTATATATTTCATGAAGGAGCATATTTAGTATATTGATTTACTACAGCCTACAGATTTGTCAGAAAATCAATATTTAAAAACTAATTTTAATAAAATTATCTTTTACATCAGATTGTTATAGCCTAAAAGAGTATCATGTTAAAGTTTAATATCAGTTCTTTTAACACAGCAATTCAAGACCTTGATCAGAATTACGTACAAGAAGCTTTCTTCAGGTGAATTCACATTACTGAGACTTCGTGATTCAACTGTTTAACGATTCTAAAGGTAATCCAGTGGTGTCATGGATTGAATTGTGTCCCCCCAAAAAATGTGTGTAGCAACTTGTCTACATCATGATTCCCAGTATTGTATGACTGTGTAATCTGATGTGATTTCCTTATGTGTTGTAAATTCTACCATTGTGATGAGGTTATGCTGATGAGGTTTACAAGATTAGATAGTGTCTTAATCCAATCTCTTCTGAGATATAAAAGAGAGAAGCGAGCAGAGACACATGGGAACCTCACACCACCAAGAAAGCAGTGCCAGGAGCACAGTGTGTCGTTTGGACCTGAGGTTCCTGCGCTGAGATGCTCCCAGACCAAGGAAAGACTGATGCATCACAAGGACCTTCTTCCAGAGCCGACAGAGAGAGAAAGCCTTCTCTTGGAGCTGAAGCCCTAAATTTTGACTTGTAGCCTACTGGACTGTGAGAGAATAAACCTCTCTTTGTTAAAGCCATCCACTTGTGGTATTTCTGTTAGAGCAGCACTAGATGACTAGACAAGTTGAAAGAGAGAATATAAAGAATACTGAAGACATAAATCATTCAAGACATTAGTAAAATCCTTTCGTATGTATATAATAAAATCTATTTCATTTAAACCATGTGAATTGACAAGTACTTAACTCGCTAACCTCTGCAGTACTCAGGTAAATGTTCCATTTCAAATTAAATTTAAAAGCCTTTTGAAAATACTGAAACAAAATGACGAATAAAATTGATGCACACTTAACTCTAAATCACACTCTCT